AGTCTCTGATATGCTCTCGAAATTGGAGATGACAAAGGCCACAAGGTAGGTGGAAACAGGTGGGGTGGTTTGAAAGAAGGTGGTTTTTAATTCGCTGTAATCAAACTAAGAGTAAGTAAGGCTTCTTTAATGTATACCTTATAGACTTACCCATGCGAGAGTATTTCCTTTACTGGCATATTGGATATGGCCGAATGGCTGCTGCCATGAGTTATAATAATGCTAACGTTTGCCTTGAATCCCGGCTCATCGTAACAGGGAAAGATTAGACGTGCATATGTGGGCTCCGATTGCGTGGCGGCAATGTATCTGTAAGATGTAAATAGTCGGGTCAATAGGTAGTACTCATTATAATATATCTTTAAGAACCAATAATCGCCATTAAATATTACAACTTGTTGCACAGTTTAATTGCCATCCGCTGCCTGCCTACGAGTTTTTATTAAACAAAATCATTACACTTCAAAAATTCCCAGTTCCATTTTCAGATCAACGAACGCTAAACAAAAAACCAGTCACAGCCTGCGGCTGCCGGAATGATCAATCACTTGTAGAACCTGCTCTCAATTCCAGGGAACAATCGCGTTTCGTTATTCCCAACCGAAGAGCATGGGTCATGCGAATATGTTGCCCAATCGAAATCAAAACAAATCGGCGTACTAAGCGTAATACAAATACTACTGTTTTTTGTTGTCGTTTCACTATCTGCCGGGAACTGATAAGGTGCGACTCCTAATTGCTGACACAGTCATTCCCCTTTATAAAGAATCCCCCCATTCAGCGTTCTCAATGTTTACATCGTCACCCTGGTGACGCGACGGGATCAACCAATTCCGCCATATGCGATGAGCATATACCATATATGTTTGTGTATATATACTATATAAGGCAGATAGCGATAAAGTCTGCGAGAACCGTCTACGCCAGCAAAGTAATTAAAAGGCAATGCCAAACAAATGGAAATAATAACAAAGTAAAAGTGAGAGCGTAGGCAAAGTGAAGTGACCAAAACAAAGTGCACACCGAATCTATCTCCGGGTTATGTAAGAGGAGCTTACTTATAATCTGGATGAGCGCGTGCCTGCCGATGGTATTTTCTCAGTCAAATAAACTATATTTTATGGATATAATAGCCAGCCTATTCTAGAGGCTATCATGGTTTATGATAAGAAGTAGCCACTTTGTCATAAAAATTAAAGATAGCCAACATAAAAAGGGATCGTAAAGGTAAGCCAATGAATCTTTTCTAAATTTAAACTACTTCACAAACAGCTAGAGCTTTTTGGGTTTTTACACCTATGAGACACTGTTGCCACGAAAGATAAACTACTCACGAGGTGCGGTTGCTCTTCTCATCCGTATAATCCATGTAGTAAAGTCCCGCGGGACGCAGAGTCATAGTGGCCGTGTAGAGGATCTCCAGGCGGTATTGCTGTCCCTCCTCAAAGACCAGGCGATTCTCATTCTCCCTGGGATGGATGATGAGGTAAGCTGCCGCTGGATAAAGCGTGTGAGTCAAGTCGTCCACGATCTGGGAGCCCCCTTCGGTCAACAGGTGGACAGTGATCTGAATATCGGACAGGTTCTTGGCGTGCATCACTATCTCGTTCGTCGAGCTCCGGATGGCTACGTCAATGGTGGCATTTCCGCTGAAGAGCAGTGTGCCCTTATGAATATCGCTGGATATGTGCAGTTGGTAGAACAACGGATATGTATCGTTGGGCAGGCGCAGGGATCGCTCTCGCTGGTATTCCGTCGCCAGGGATCCGCCGACCACCAGGGCCAGGGTCACCAGTAAAGCACCCGAAACCGAAGCCACTCCAGACAGCGGCGTGATCATGGTGATACGAAAAACGCGAACCGGATCGAATTAACTGTATCTGTTCGCGCCCTGGCAACCGCAACTCAACTGAGCGGAGGCAACGAGCAACCCGGTGGTTATAGCTAAAGCCCCTCCAGTCCCGATAAGATAAGCCGGACGGCTGATCGATGGGTACTCGTATAAGAGAATACACACGTTCTCATAAGAGGTGCAAACAACTCGATTCGCTTGGAGTGAGTCGGGCACTCGAGGGAGCGGCATTGAGCAGGTCACGGTGCGGTCCTTGGCACACTAACAACGCACACCCCGATGCGGGCTTTCCACCAAAACTCACTCTTTTTGTCAGGTGGTTGTGGACATCCCTAGGGGTATACCCGTACTTCTTTCAAACTATTGTCTTTGGAAAGACAAACATAATCAACCCTTATGTGTAATGAGTGCTTGATCAATAACCTGTTTCTTGTAGATCCGCAATATCTAATTATATTTATTATTTTTGTTTTATTTACACCATGGTTTTGTGATAATTACAAATTGTATTTTATTATTAATTTTTATTCAGCTATTAGGCCTTAAGCTAGGTAAGGTATTATATACATTATATCTAAATATAAATTTTCCTTACATTACAAAATTTGGAGTATTGAAATGAAAATGAAAGATATATTTTTATTATAACTATGAGATTTTTTTAACAATTTAAACCGTTTTTTTAAATATTATAGAACACCCGAAATTCCTATTGAAAAGTCGACATATCTATCTAATAATCTTAAAAATCATAGATTAAAAAACTTTAGAAATTTTTAAGATCATGATCATGAGATATTAAAACCAACAATACCCCTAATGCAATAGTTATCGAAACACTCAGCACCTCTCTTAATAAGTAATGATTTATGTTTTTACCTTCGTGCTTACGCATATTTCCCAACTTTAATTAGTTTAGACTCATACCAAATAAATAGGAATTGAAGTGAATAAACCAATTAGACGGTATCGGATAGTCAGAATGCGCTGTTCTATTAGTCACTGTTTTCGCTGTCTCTTCGCTTCGTTCGCAAATTCGAGATCGTTTATAAGTTGCGATCCAAAAGCCGAATGCCTCAGTTGAAGCTTAACTTTGCCAGCGAAAAGATGTCGATGATTCCACGATCACCCATTTGGCCCTTATATTGTGTGTCCTGGGTTATGTTTCTGCATATCAGCAGAATGTCAACCAAATGGAGGATACGTAAGTACTTAATATAATTATTTCTTACACATTTTATAATTATAATATTATAAATTAACAGTGTCAGATGCACACGGATTGCTGCTCGAGAACTTGCAAGACCTACAATCTAGTTTGTGCCCCTAGGGTTGATGCTTTCGATCCAATTAAATATACCAAGATGAATATTTTCGATGTGATGCCAGTTAAACCACCTAAAGATGAAGTGCAAATTTATGGTCTTCCTGGTGAGTCAGAACCATCGGATGATCTATTTTCTTTTGGGCCAAATACAAAATCAGCCGCAGAATGCCGGCAAATCGGTCAACCAGTAAGATGACTTTCTTATCAGCTTGACCAGCTTTCACTCTCGATTTGTACTTATTTTCCAGTGCTCCCGGGCCGAAGAATGCTGTAATATGCGATGTCACACTTATTTGCATAGGTGTGTCACCTGAAATATATTCCGACAATGAGGAAAGATGACAGCCAGCTATTACCAAAATAAACCATATTCAGGACGGGTGCAGCCCTTTATATATTAAGTGGATTTTATCTAAGGCTACACATTGGAATATAAAACTTTAAAATGTTTAAGCAACGTTGAAATTTATAATAAAAGCTGATAAATAATGAATTGAAAATATTTAAATGTTGGGAAAAAACCACACTGTCGCTGTAAGCTATTAAAATGATAACGAAAGGTTGAATACTATATGTGGTTGAATTTGTGGTGGTGGAAAAAATGCCCATCATTTAAATGAACTGATAATTTCATTTACTTCTTTACATTATCGAAAGTATAAAAGCTGGGATTTCCGGAAAGGAAATATTTAAAGAGCTTTTTGCCAGTTGATTTTAAATACTGTTAAGGGCTCGAACTCATATAGTTTGTGTGTTTTGAGTCTCCTATGAATAATTTTAAATATTTTATTTTTGTTGAAGAAATATTTGTATCAACAGGTACAGCAATGAGAATGGGAGACACTTAAAAATGACCTTAACCTACTGAATTCAATAACAAATTATATCGACTTGAAACACATTGTGATACTCATATCTCTTTCTATATCTATGTCTGGTGTCGTTTTTGATGCGTTGACATTAAATATTGACAGGGCAATTCCCAATTATCTCGAGCGTCTTGACACAATTGTAACCCGACTTCTTGACTTGGGCAAACAGAGGAGCCTGTCCAACAAGAACAGTTGCAATTAATTATTGCCGCAGGGTCAGTTGGCCAATAATGGGGGAGTTTAAAAGCCATGCTTTGGCCCACTTTGATATTTAGTTCACTTTGTGTTACAAAACGATTTGAAGTCATAATGCTGGTCGTTTTATTAGTCCTTCTAGTGCTGGCTGTAAGAAAGAAAGAAAATATAAGTGTCCTATTCCATTTAGCAATAGACATATTTCGAAAAAAACAATTTTGTTACATTAAAAACGAACAAAATTAAAAAAAAATCTTAGAAATATTATTTGTTTAAAAAATCCCAAAAGTACCAGAGAAGAATGTAAAATTGGAATACTTGCTTAAATTAATTGGAAACCTTTTTATTTATTTAGTCCCAAATTCAAGCTCTGCCCGTTGACAAGGACACTTCACTAAAGGATGTCAAATTACCTCTGATTTCCAAGCCACCAATACAGCAGCAACTGAATCCTCTCAACCAGGATGAGGTTACCATGTTCACCAATATGTTCCTTAGCCTTTTCCGCGGAGTAGCCGACTATAGAAACATGGTTGCCGCCGATTCAGTCCAGAGTGTTTGGCAGAGTCCGCCAGTTGTTGACTTCAGTCATCGGCTTTTCGCTACCTAGGAATATTGCTTTTGATCCGAAACTGTTTTTGCATAAACAAACTGTAATAACAATGTTGACAAAAAGTAATCTGTTTTTCATTTTGGCAAAAAGCGGTATATAAGAGTTCTGCTTATGGAAGAGCCATTAGTAAGAAATTCAACCATGAAGCTTAAGGTAGCCATCATAATTGCTATCCGGATATTTTTGGGAATGGCCATCGCCTTACCAACTCTTCAGATCGATCCTAGACACATTCCCTACGGAGTAGATGAATTCCGGCCATTTCTTGTGAGAAATTCCACCGATGTGCTGCCTTTGTCAAAAAATTTGACGCAAGTAACTAAACGAAAAGGGCTATAATCGTATTGATCCTTGGCTAATTGATTTTTTTACAAGATTCAACGACTTCGATGGGCTGATAAATGTGTGCAGTTCAGGAACAAGTGCTCATTGGCAGAACACTGTTGCAGTCTAAAATGCTTGAAACGAATTTATCGCTGTATTACCTAGATTAAAACAAGTAGATATAACTAAAAGGTACTTAAAAAAGTACTTTTTTTTTTTTTTAATATTTATTTAAACCTATTTTTCGGAAATATATAAGGTTGTCACTGTTAAATCTAGGGTTTGAAATCATTAATAAACAAGGAAGAACGCTATAGTCGAGTACCTCGACTATCAGATACCCGTTACTCAGCTAAATAGGGATATGCAAGTAGCAAAGCGAGATTAAAATGCGCCACCTACCGGCGGTATACAGATTTAAGCGTTATGGGCGTTAGAGTGGGCGTGGCAAATTTTTTTTTGGACCAATCGATAGGTATTGACAAGACCAATACATTTCAGTTAAATTTGTTTATCTAGCATGAAAATTGTGGGCGTCACAGGTTTTCGCGGTTTGTGGGCGGTAAAGTGGGCCTGGAAAACTTTTTTTTGGACCAATCGATATGTATTGATGAGAACAATACATTTCAGTTAAAATTTTTTATCTAGCATGAAAATTGTGGGCGACACAGGTTTTCGCGGTTTGTGGGCGTTAAAGTGGGCGTGGCAAACTTTTTTTTGGGTCAATCGATAGGTATTGATGAGAACAATACATTTCAGTTAAAATTTTTTATCTAGCATCAAAACTGTATGAGCCACAGTTTTGGGCGGTTTGTGGGCGTTAGAGTGGGCGTGGCACTCTACTGAAACAAACTTGCGCTGCGCAGGAATCTCAGGAATCTGCGTGCCTAATCCCAGTATTGTAACTCTCATAGTTTCCGAGATCTCAGCGTTCATACGGACAGACGGACAGACGGACAGACGGACAGACGACGGACATGGCTAGATCGACTCGGCTAGTGATCCTGATCAAGAATATATATACTTTATGGGGTCGGAAACGCTTCCTTCTGCCTGTTACATACTTTCCGACGAATCTAGTATACCCTTTTACTCTACGAGTAACGGGTATAAAAAGTGTGCAACACCACTTTAAAAGATGGTATTATTTTTTAATAATATAATTTATCCCTAAAAGTATTCACCAATACGACTATATTCTTATTTAAATTTATAAATAATTCCTTAAAAACTAAGAGAACAGAGCAGATATTAAGCGTCTTCTCTTTCTGCTTATTTATATACTCGTCTCTTAAAATAGGTAAATAACAAACCGTAGCAATATTAACTTAAGTTTCCGTCACACATTAATTTTTTTTAAAAGCCATGAGTGTCAGTTGGATTTTAACATTTCTAAGGAGAAGATGTTGATCACCCGATTATTATATTTTTTCTGTATCCTGGTCTTTGTGGCTGCTGTCCAGGATCTACAAAATTCTACTAGCACTGTCACTACGAGTACAACTACTGCCAAGTATTGTCAGCTAAGTGGCGGATATGTAAGTTTTGTATATAAAGCAACTCAATTTTATAGTTTCATGTCTTTTTGCACCACAGTGTCGAATGCATATGGATTGCTGCTCAAGAAGGTGTATGCAAGTGCCCGCTGAATGTCGTTAACCAATTTTAATAAATAATACATTTTTAATAAACAGAAAAAAAATATGAACACCTACTGCCTAATTATTTTCATGCTTTAAGTATTAATTAATTATTTGTTTGTGTATTTATTAAATATTCTATTCACATATACCACTTGAACAATTTATTTATTTAAATTATTCCTCAAAAAAACTAAATAAGAGCGTTGTCAAGATTTAATGAGTTTTTTATTTGTTTATTCATTCCCTGGTCTGAATATAAAAGGTGTTGGCATATTAACTGACACAGTTGAACTTCAACTAAGTCAGCGTGAAAATGCTGATCGCCCAACTTGGACTATTCTTGTGTATCCTGGGCTATGTGGCTGCAACATGTCAGCAAAATGGAGATACTGTATGTTTTCAAAAAAAATAAATTAATATTAAAGATCATTTAAATAACAGTGTCAGATGCATACGGATTGCTGCTCAGGAATGTGCTTGACCTACCTGTCTCGATGTACAACTTGTCCAAACTGCAATTTGCCTTATCAAATAGGTTAACCCCATTAAGTATGATCAATTACTCTGCCTGTCCATCTTAAAGACGTAATTTAAAATTAAATTATTAAATTATTCAGGTGAATAATTTGATATAACTTCTTTATAAATTACAACACGAAACATTCGACATTTGACTTTGAAACCTCTGGAATAGGGCTAATAACGGATTAAAAGAAGTTCAGAATAAAATATAATGTTGCATACTTTTCGACACCATTATTGTGATTTCATGATTTCTAAAAGCTGATAAAGTTGATCCACCGTAATAAAGTTGATCCCCAGACGGTAACTTTTAGACTGAGTTTGAAAAAAGGAACTCTATAAATAAAAAGCTTTCAAAAGTTTGATTTTAAGTAAAGCAATTTACTGGCTTGGGAAATAAAGGCAATGGAAATATGCACTGTTACATTTTCAATGCCTTATACATCTGTCAACCAGTTTATTTACAGAGTTATTATCATCTGCTTATTCATACACTCGGCTGGCAATAAAAGACCTATATATATTACTCCCAACATAAAAGCTTGAGGCATCAGTTGAATTTTAGCTCTGAAATCGTGAAAATGTTCGTCGCCCGACTTGTACTTTTGCTGTGTATCTTGGTAAGCTAAAAGGGTTTTTATATTAATTACAATAAAATATAACGACTAAATACACTAAATTAAATTATTGACTTGTTTCCTTAATAATCTTTAATTTGTAAATTATGCAAAACAATACAAAAATTTAAAGCCATATTCTCCTTTTTGTTAAGTTTCGCAATAAAAAATTTAATGTAGCATAGTTTTACGCTCCATAATAAATGGTTTGATGGAAATTAATTATTTTTATATACACGACAAACCCTCAGATGGTTCTTTTTTAAAGCTTGTTTAAGCCCCAGTGTGACATGTATAGGGATTACTGCTCCAGACGGTGCCTGACCCACCTGTCTTGTTTCGCCCCCAAGACGGGGGAACCGTGGTAATTACATGCAGTTCGCATTTGGCCATTATAGAACCTCAAGTTCCATCACCTCCACACATCCTGCCTGCTCATCCTCCTCAGCTGTTTAGTCAATCACTCGACTGGTAATAATAAAGCAAAGCCATATCAACCGACAGAGTGAAGTGAAGTGTTTGGCTGCTCACAATCAAGTTACATCTGCTAGTGTTTGTCAGCGTTTACCAGCAAACAATATTTCCGCCCACAAACAACAAGACATTCGAGTATTGAGCATTGAGCATTGAGCATTGAGCAGACAATGCGACAAAGCGGCATCAATGTGAATTTTTTCACTCATAGACATTTGCATTGACACACGATGGGGAAACGGGGAAAATGGGCAGAGGGGAACCCCCGACCGACGTTTTTGTGCAAGTGTCTCCAAGTGATCCTTTCCCCTTTCAGTGGGCACAAAGCGCACACAATGAGTTTAGACAGCGATTGTTTGGCTTTCTTGGCGTGTGTGTTAGCCACATCCTTTGTTGTTGTCACGCCCCGACTTTCTCGGCATACGAGTGCTGCAGTTGGATCAACAATGGCCAAAAAGACCCATTAAAATATGGCCGACTGGCACTGGAATTGTGTTTTTTTTATGGCCGACCCCCCCAAAAGTATGCCACATAAAACTGCAGCATAGGTGACCCTTTTCACGCGTCTTTAAACGCCCATTAACCGCAATCTACCGGTTTTATATGGTGGTGGGGTTCCCCCATCCAAAATTGATTATTTTTGCAAACTTATTGTCTTGTTTGTTGGCGCACGTGCCAAAGCCTCTGGGATTTACATGGAAATCGCATTCATAGTTGAGTGTTTTTGGCTGCATCGAATATTCCGGGTACAACAGGAATTTCTACTGATTTTTTTGTTTTTTCATTTTGAAACTCTTTGTTCGATTTGTTTTGCCAACATGCGGTTATTATTTGGCACTTACTGGCTCTGCCGTCTGGGGTTTTCGTCTCCCCTACTTCCCCTTTGCAAAGGAAGACATCAAAAACTGCGGAACCGGAAGATATTCCAGGCATGCAGCATCCACACACCCCTTCTCCACCGATAAGAGATGCCAGCTTGATGAAGTTTTGGTGGCAATGCCTGGCAGGAAATCACTTTCGGCACCCATACCTCTCCCCCCAAAAAAACCGAACGAAGTAAGATGAAAATCGATTGGTTTTGGACATCAGCGAATTCCATATGCAGTTTCATTGGTCTAAAAGTGTGCCGAGCAGATGAAATGCGGCCAATTTGTCATCTCTTTTTCATTGCAAGAGTCGGGTGCCTTTAAGACCCGCTTTTCTTTAATGGCCCTCGCCCTCGGATTGTGTAATATATGCAGGTGTGCAAAACTTTTACATTGCACGTGTCGGCAGACACTTAAATGTCGAATGAATAATTCCGCCTGCCACCGTCAGTCGGCAAACTTTTATTGCTCTTGGCAGGCACTGAGTGCTAAGAAAAACACAAGAACAGGTGCCGCAGGATTGCCGAATAACTTGAAGCAATTCGCAAACTGCCAGCTGCTTAATTGGAGTTCACAGCAAACTAAATGATGCCCAAATCCGACTTACAGGAAGTCTTTTGGAGGAGAGTGCATTGCTCTGCTTTTTCTGTGGAGCGGATAACGTGGCGTATACGCGATGCGGTCAGTGGCCAACTGACTGACTAGATAAACAGACAGGGCGACTTATCAGTAACGACCTTTCTTTTGGGCTTTAAGACTTATGTACATAAATACCTTCTCACTGGGAGTGGAAGGTTTATCAAAACGAAATAAAATATTCAAAAAGTTTGCTTCACAAGTCGCCTGCTGAACACTCTTTGGAGTTATAAAGGGAAATAATACCTACAACTTATAGTTTAAAATTCGTTTAAATACAAAGCAGTTTTCAAATTACTAGCAAGAGATATTAAAACTGGGATCTGGAAATAATTATTATTTGAATTATTTAAAGATATGTAGCTGCAAAGTAAGATAAGTTAAATAGAAACAAAATTGTATTTAATATGACAATCACAAATAATGCCTATTTTTTGGGTACCCTAATACCCTCTTTGTGTGTAATTAAGAAATATTTAAAAGTAAATACCGATAAAACAATAATATAGTAAGTATATAAAAATATTATAAAAGGACATAGTCAATGTATTCAAAATATTTATTGCATTAGCAGTCTTATAAATGGATATATGGATATATTATAACAGGATGTGTTCAGTGTTTAAACCTCTCGAAAAACATGTTCTGGTTTCTTCAAACGACTTCTTTCAGGGGCTTGACTTTCCCACATTAGGGCAGTATTTACAGCTTGAAAAGGATTTCTTTTTTGTAGGCATCGCATATGTTTATATTTGCATTTGTGGCTGAGGCTGGGGCACAAAAACAGGGATTTTCAGCGGCAATGGGGAGTGGGTTTCGGTGGGTCTGTCAGGGGCCATGAAATTGATTTTAAATGCGGCGCTGACGGGAGAGTAGATTCCGCAGGACGGGCCACTGGGTGACTGGGTGTCAAAGGACGGGGCAAACAGTCGGGAGCGATGATGATGAGCCATCGGTGTCGTTGTCCTCGGATGAAACCGCACGTATGTATGACAAGTCGTTAGGGCCGACTTAACTGGCAAAGGAAAAGCCACACGAGCTGCGGCAGCAGCAGCAGCAGCAAATCAAAGCGAGTGTCCATCAACATTACGCAGACTGGGCGGGAAAATGGAAAAGCGGAAAAGTGTCAACGCTTGTCAGGGGCGACCATGACCAAACAGAGCCTGTTTGTGAGCAGCGGCGGGCAAAACTCATTATATTTCTTTCGCTTTTTCTCGTTCATCTTTTTTTTCTTATACATATATATTTTTTTTATTTTTCCAATTGAAAGCGCCGGCCCTTTAATGTTTCGTTTCAGTTTCAGTTGCTGTTACTTTTTTAATCGCACATGCATATTTAAAAAAAAAGATATATAAAGTGTGCGACTGTCAGGAGAACGCTTTGATGTGTCAGGAGTTCGATATGAAGGCGGGGTGCAGAAACCATAAACTCGGCACGAAATTAATAACAGAGCTTGTGAAATTTGCATTCAAAGGCGGCCACTGACAATGTAATCGGAGTACCCTTAGCGACCTGACCTGACCCCCGGCTTTAAGGCGACCTTTGCCCGACTTTAGAGGTAGAGTTGGAGGTGGGAGCTGGAGTATGGGTCTGTACCGTTTATGGCCCCTGGCCAAATTTGCATTTATCGACAGGAGGTGAGCGGTGGCTGTAGAGTCTCATTAAAAAGTAATTGCCCATTAAAAAGAGCGAGCTGGCTGCTTGACTCGCCGATTTGTCCACTTTGCTGGCTTTCGAGAACCGCGTTTTTGTCCTGGGTCTCTTTGTTTCGAGTTGTTTGTCGTTAATTGAATCGGCGAAATGACAAGCAAAACGATTCCTTTTGTATGCCCACGGGCAACCGGCGATGGCCACTTGGGCACTCGTTACGCATACGCTCCGTGGGCCACACAAAACATGCCCCGTGGCAGTGACCGCACATCGGAACA